CGGGTATGCTTCATGGTGCACAAGTATAACGGCGCATGTACCGGTGACATGCGGAGGTTGCATGTACCGGTGACGTGAGAAGAGCACATGTACCGGGTGACGTGTAGAGGGCCCAGGTACATAGTGGCGTCGAGGGAGAGAGGGAGCCTAGTGTGTTTCCCTTTGTGTAAACTGATGGAGAAAATCCTCTTTTAGAGGACGCTCAGGCAAGTATGTGCGCCGCTTTGTTTACAAGAAACAGCTGACGGTACGGGCCCCACATGGTCAGTGGAAGGGGAAGCTGGGAGAGGATATGACGTCACTATGTTTATGTTAGAAAAGGGGGTGTGAAGACACAAGGAAGGGGGGGGGGGGGGAAGCAGCAGGAAGGAGGAGGAGAGCTGCATTGCCCTAGCTTTAACTGTCACTCTGGGTAAACAAAATGGCATGTCACCAAAGGGAATATAGAAGTAGTAATGTATTCAATCAACTTGAGACCTTACGTTGAGATTTGGATCAACACTCGGCGCCTGGAATGATGGCGCGGACCTGGGGCCAACACCCAGCTCCCTGCATCCCAGGTTTACTTGGTGTGAAGGAGAGTGAGCCAGAGTAAGCGAGTGTGAGAAAGTGTGTGGCAGTGTGAACGAGAGTAATTACCTAAGTGTAATTACCTTAGTGTAGTTACAGGATGAGAGCTACGCTCGTGGTGTCCCGTCTTCCCAGCGAGTGAGCGAGAAGTAGTGTGGTAATGTAAACGAGTCATGGAAGTGTGGCTGGGTTATAGTGTGACTGGAGGTCGTGGATCCATCCCCTCGAGCCGGAGGTCATGAACCACTTAAAGATCCATGGGAAGTGCAGCGGGGGAGGGGGGGGTGAAGAGAGGGTCCAAAAGAGGCTCTGGAGGGCAATGACGTCCTCTTTAGGAATACGTACTTTATTATTTATTATTAACATCTTTATTGACAAAATTTAGTTACAATTTTGTCTAATCTGAGGATTTCCAATTAAGTCTTATTAGAGTGAGGATAATGCTGGTATTCACTGTCACGCAGGACAGAGGGTCATATACAAAACAATAGGTCTAAACTGTAGGCTGAAGCACATATATATCATGGTTACAATCAATGTTTTAATGTACGAATATGTAAAAACAACTTTCTATTGTGCACTGCCACATAAGGGCAGGGATGGGTTCATAAGTGATGCAGGTTAAAAATAATATAAATAAAATTGCTCTTCATTCTTTAAAATGGACAAGCAGATTTTGGATAAATTGTTAGGATGTCGTCCAGTTCACCATATTCAATGAAATAGTTACACAGTTGGTGGTACAAGAGGCCAGGTCTAAAGTCTTTTACGGTTTCACATTCAATAATATAGTGTTCTAGTGAATGCATTAAAGGTTTATCACAGAGTTTACAATCTGAGTATTCTGGTAGTGGCTCAGCCTCACTAACCTGTCAGATGTGTCTATAGCCAAGGCGAATTCTCGCAATGACTACATCACATTGCCTGGTCCGGTTACTGTGCTGACCATACAAATACCTATTATTACAAAACTTGTCATAACTTTTAATACTGCAGCCTTCAGGTCTCTGGGCATTTCTTAGTTCTTCTAAATCTGAATTAATTTCTTTAATGTGTATGTTTCTAATAATTGCATTAGATAGTTCAAAGTCATAATCAATGTTTTCTTTCCTGCAAGCCTCATTGGCCAATCGATCTACAAAGTCATGATTTCCAACTCCAACATGGGATGGGATCCACACAAGTTTTATACAATAATTATTATCATTGGCAAAAATGACATTCCATTTAATATTACAAGCTACTTCAGACATAAATTGCGAATACGTACTTGCGAAATTGCGAATTCTGGGGGGGGAGGTTCTGGGTGGTGTTCTTTCTTGTGCTGGGGACACCCCAGGGTACTTGGACTGTACCTGGAGAGGGTTCTAGGAGTTCTTCTACTCCTCGGGTCCGGCTTGAGGGTCAGGCTTGACCGGAGAGAACTTACTCCAACAGACTAAGTTCGAGCGGCCCGCAGGACCACGTATGCACAACCCGTTCTCAGAGTAAATCTATTACATCGAGACACCAAACCCCTCCTCAAACCACCTGGATAGTTATCTAGATATTTGTGATGATCTGATTGCGTATTACGGTTCCAATAATAATCTACTTGTAAACTGGCAAGTGAACCTTTGTTCTAAACAGAGTTATAATTTTACTTTATTATCAAGTTATAACTTTACTTTATTATAAATAGGTGCTTCAAAATATTCAAAGTTTGTGCTGAACTAGTTTTCTTTGAAATGGCGTGAAGAATTTGGTTTTCTGTAAACGAAATTCTAGGGGACACTCAGTATCAGCAGCAGGAGCACCAGTAACCCAAATAGCAGGAACAGTAGCAGGAGCAGAGGCAGCATTAAAGTGACATACTGTATAATAACTATCATCAACCACACATGCCTATGTTGTAAAATATATGGTCACCTTTCTTGTTTATGTCTCCCAGCGCTAACTTGTGCGGAGTGCTGGAGATGCTTGGCCTGGACGGGTCGGGGGAGACCCTGGCCCGGGAGCTAGGAGCCGACCGCCGGGGCCGTGTCTCTCTCAGGGCTTTCCTCAACTCTCGCCGCCACCACGCTCACGAAGTCAACGCCATCCGGAGTGAAGGTGAGTTTCTGTGTTGTGATAGTGAAGGTGTTATAATATTGTTGCCCCCCCATACTCATCCTGTGAGCGGTAGCGCAAAAAGGATTGCAGAAGGCTGTGCTAGCTCATTTTCCTTGCCTGGTATCGTAGCCCAGTCCTTTCAATACTCTAACGACTCTTGTTACCATCCTTTTTCACTTTCTCAATTTTTTTTTGTAGTATGGAGTCTCAATGTTGGCACTGCATACTCAATGACTGGTCACACGTATGTGGCATGCCGCTTTCTCGAAGCATCTTTTCCAAGATCCTCGAAAAGTACTATGATATTTGACTTCTGATATCATGGATATCATGCAGTTCTCGACTGTCCTGCTTGTTCGCATTAGTTCTGCATCATCCTGGGAATGATGACCCAAAGGAGTCGGGTCTTCAGCTCCGTAAACATCATTTACGAGTATTAATTATGAATGGTGAGAGAGAGAGAGAGAGAGAGAGAGAGAGAGAGAGAGAGAGAGAGAGATAGAGAGAGAGAGAGAGAGAGAGATAGAGAGAGAGAGAGATAGAGAGAGAGAGAGATAGAGAGAGAGAGAGAGAGAGAGAGAGAGAGAGAGAGAGAGAGAGAGAGAGAGAGAGAGAGAGAGAGAGAGAGAGAGATAGATAGATAGATATTGCGATTGCCAGGTGGTACTGTCTCTACCTCGTCCCCACACAGGTGGAGAGAGCTGGGCCCCGGAGCTATGGTCAGGGGGCTCCGAGGGGGGTGACGTGGACCCCTCCCTCTTGCCGGAGCGCCCCCACGCGCGCCACCTGGACACGCCCTCCACAGCACGCCCTGGCAGGTGGCGGCAGGGCGCGACGGAGGCCACCTCCCACTTCGCCAGCGCCAGGTTCCTCGAAGCCAGCAATAAGGTTCGTGTCGGTAATCTCTCTCTCTTAGGACTCTCCGAGGGCGAGGTCACGCGAGGGTCGAGGTCACGGTAAGTCGAGGTCACTCGACGTCAAAGTGACGCGTGGTCAAGGCTCTCAATTCCTTTGAGTTGTAGATAGGGATTCGACAATTGTTTAAGTCTTTAAAGTAAGTAATGGGTGACAGGCTACATTTTAAAGTCTGAAGACTAAAATAAACAGTTATTTATGGAAGTTAAATATTAAGGCATAATTAACCGGTACTTTAGGTTAATTTAGGGGGTGTAGGTTAGGTTAATTTAGGGGGGTGTAGGTTAGGTCAGTTTAGGGGGTGTAGGTTAGGTCAGTTTAGGGGGTGTAGGTTAGGTCAGTTCAGGGGGTGTAGGTTAGGTCAGTTTAGGGGGTGTAGGTTAGGTCAGTTTAGGGGGTGTATGTTAGGTCAGTTTAGGGGGTGTAGGTTAGGTCAGTTTAGGGGGGGTGTATGTTAGGTCAGTTTAGGGGGTGTAGGTTAGGTCAGTTTAGGGGGTGTATGTTAGGTCAGTTTAGGGGGTGTATGTTAGGTCAGTTTAGGGGGTGTATGTTAGGTCAGTTTAGGGGGTGTAGGTTAGGTCAGTTTAGGGGGTGTATGTTAGGTCAGTTTAGGGGGTGTAGGTTAGGTCAGTTTAGGGGGTGTAGGTTAGGTCAGTTTAGGGGGGTGGATGTTAGGACCAGGCCTCCTTTTTGTTACACAACCCGTAGCAGCTGTCTAACTCTCAGGTACCTATTTACTGCTAGGTAACAGGGGCATTAGGGCGAAAGAAACATTTTGCTCAGCCTCCACCGAGGATCGAACCCGGAACCTCAGGGCTACGAATCCGAAACCCTGTCCACTCAGCTGTCAGGCGCCCTGGATCTCACGTCAGTGAGATCACAAGTTTTATAGACTGATGTTACTCTTTTTTTTTAATATCAGGAAAGGTTTGGAGTTCAAGTGATTTGTGGCAGAGGAATGCAATGGCCGGAGCTAGAGTCTTTTTTTGTAACTTAGAATTGTGTTGAAAAGTCTCTGACTCTTGATGACAGAACTGTCTCTCAGCGTACCTATTGTACCTCTGCTTTTCATCAAAGCAATTTTTGCATTTCCTACCATGCTTCCTGGTCTCATGAGGAGTTAATTCCGCGTGTAGATTTGGAACCAGTCTCTCTAATATATTTTCATAGTGTCAATTATTAAGTATCTCTCTCGTCTGCGCTCTGGAGAATACAGGTTTAGACCATTACAGGTTTACAGGTTTTAACCATAAATGGATTCGGTCAGTAGGAAACTCTCCACGCGTTCTCCAGGTCAGCAATTACTCCAGCTTTGATTGTGGCCGTTAGTGTGCAATACAGTTACAGCCCCGCTCCTGCGCCAGATAAGTCCACTACGGGCTCACCATAGCCCGTGCTACTTGCAACATTTTCTTCCCAGTAGCTGAATCTATAACAACAACAAAAAGTGAAATGAACTATCAGGAGAAAGCGCCAAGCCATTACGATTATATAGCACTGGAAAGGGATCAAGATAAGGATTTGGGATGGGACATTGGGGGGGGGAAGGAATGGTGCCCAACCATTTGGACGGTCGGGGATTGAACGCCGACCTGCATGAGGCGAGACTGTCGCTCTAATGAGTACATATCTTGTTTGGAAAAGTTCTTGTTATCCAACCTGTCATTTTTGCTTGTTTGCAGTCATAACAGCAACTTTATTGTGTTCTTAAGAAGGAGAGAGAGAGAGAGAGAGAGAGAGAGAGAGAGAGAGAGAGAGAGAGAGAGAGAGAGAGAAGAAGACAGAGAGAGAGAGAGAGAGAGGTAGGAGAAAGAGAGAGAGAGAAAAGAGAGAAAAAGGTAAGATGTTCCGACATGTTTACTCCCAAAAAGTTTTGCATTACGTTTTCTTCCTGTGGTGTGATTTAACTGCGTTTTTTATGTGGTTTCTGTTTTGATATTTTTTTTTTTTTACCATAGCCTAGGAGCTGGACCTTGTCTTTGTTAAACTTCATATTGCTTTCTGTGACTCACTGGAGGACCTGATTTATATTAATCTGGAGGTTTGCTGTGTCTTCTACTCACTACACTACACTACACTACACTACACTTTGTTCATTTGTTCTGTGTCTTCTATATTGTCTACTCAACACTTCTTGGGCTATCTGCAGGGGCGAGTCTACCTGTATCTTGGAGGGTTGGAGGGGGTGTCTAGCTGTATCTTGGAGGGTTGGAGGGGGTGTCTACCTCTATCTTGGAGGGTTGGAGGGGGCGTCTAGCTGTATCTTGGAGGGTTGGAGGGGATGTCTACCTGTATCTTGGAGGGTTGGAGGGGGTGTCTACCTCTATCTTGGAGGGTTGGAGGGGGCGTCTAGCTGTATCTTGGAGGGTTGGAGGGGATGTCTACCTGTATCTTGGAGGGTTGGAGGGGGTGTCTACCTCTATCTTGGAGGGTTGGAGGGGGTGTCTACCTCTATCTTGGAGGGTTGGAGGGGATATCTACCTGTATCTTGGAGGATTGGAGGGGATATCTACCTGTATCTTGGAGGGTTGGAGGGGGATGTCTAGCTGTATCTTGGAGGGTTGGAGGGGGATGTCTACCTGTATCTTGGAGGGTTGGAGGGGATGTCTACCTGTGTCTTGGAGGTTGGAGGTGATGTCTGTATCTTGGAGGGTTGGAGGTGATGTCTGTGTCTTGGAGGGTTGGAGGTGATGACTGTGTCTTGGAGGGGATGTCTGTATCTTGGAGGGGGTGTCTACCTGTGTCTTGGAGGGTTGGAGGGGGTGTCTACCTGTGTCTTGGAGGGTGTGTCTACCTCTATCTTGGAGGGGGGTGTATACCTGTATCTTGGAGGGTTGGAGGGGACGTCTACCTGTATCTTGGAGGGTTGGAGGGGATATCTACCTCTATCTTGGAGGGTTGGAGGGATGGGGGTGCCTACCTGTGCCATAACAGAGTAGGGAATGTCTACCTGTGTAGTGGGGAAAGGGGTGTGTCTACCTATATAGTGATGGGTGGGTGGGGGGGAGAAAGGGGGAGGGGGGGGGGGGTTTGGAGACAGCGGCAGGCTGGTCGATGCGGCGTTTTTGACAGGAAAACGTGTCGGCAGGTCCTATTGTGAGTCTCCGTCGGCTGTTGGGGGGGCCTTAGTTCTCTGTCTACCCGTCCTCCCTTTCCTGTCTTTCTCTGTACCCCTCTCTCCCTTCTCTATCACCCTCTCCTTTGTCTGTCTCTCTTTCACCTCCTCTTCTCTTCCCCAGTCTAATGTTTAATATATGAAGCCTGTTCTCTCTATAACATTGAGACTGTTGACCGGATATGCTTTGTTTTGGTTCCAGAGAGGCCCCTCTCCTTCTTCCGTCCCTCCCCTCTTCCTTCCTAACCCTCTCCATCTTCCCATCCCACCGTCCCCCTCCCTCTTCTCTCTTCCTTCACACACACACACACACCCTCCTATTTACTCTCATTCCACCCCTATCCCTTTTTCCTTTTTACAGTGGCATTACAAGGCAGTGAAAGTACCTGGTGGTTATAGAACATGCTATTGACAGTACAAGGTAGTCACACTGAGGTAGTGACAGTACCTGGCAGTGACAGTACACGGCAGTGACAGAAATTAGTTTCATACTTTCATATTGGTTAACTAACCCCTTTTTTCTCTCTATTGTTAGTTTATTTGTCCTCACATAATTCAAAATATGTCTAAGTTTTTTCAAAGTTTCAAAATGTTCTCTAGTATAGAGCGAATGACAATACCTATGTAACAAATGCCCCGTATTTCCTCGACATTATCTGGCAGCTTTAGCTGAAGCAAAGCTTGTGTATGGGCAGCTAGAGAACAGTATTATGATGAAATATCATCATAGAGCATCATAATACTGCTACGCAGAGGCAGCCACATGTCTGCGGATCAGACATGTGATCATCTACTAAGGTCAGCAGACGTCTATAGACACATTACATCTTCTGGGTTTAGGTTGTAATTGCGTCTGCCAGTTTGCAGCAAATGTAAACAATGTCTTGAAAAATATTCATACAACCTGCGATACTAAATGAATGCGAACAAATTCAGAACATTGAAGACAATTCTGTTACTTGTGCTCAAGTGTTGAATCCGGAGTGACATACTAAGCGGATCCCAAGACAGGTGTTCGAAGCCTAGAAAATAGTGCATACACACTACACACACACACACATACACAGCTTACACTACCTTGAAGTCTCATACCAGCCTATCGTATGACTATTGTACGATCCCTTGTAACTTGGTCACACGGTTGATTAAACCAAGGATGACGAGTTTCATAGCTACCTCTGAGTTTATGTAAATTGCTTACATTAAAAAGTAAAATAATAATATGGGGTCCAGTTCATATTAGCATAATGTGACTAACCTTCCTGCTAACGCCCACGGGATGGGCATAGGAGTCCGCAATAAACTAATCTACCTGAACTACTCTAACTGCTACCTGCATTTTGCTGTTCTCAATGGCTCTCAATACCTTGGGGTTTCATAGCTCTTGAAGGAGGCTTAGGAAGGTGGCGGCGCTGCCCTTTACTTCTATGCCGTTATCATCTATTTTGCTGTTGATACTTGTTAATATTTCATGCTAGTTTTATCAAGCTTGTCATTGCTGCTTGTACCTGCTGCATGGGTGACAGCTTCTCCATATCAACCTACCCTGGCTTGGCGCCCTGGAGAAGCCACTCCAGACCGACAACCAGAGCGCAACTCCACAGTCTCTTGAGACTGATGGATGCCCACTACTACTCTTTTCATTATCTCTTCCTCTACTTTATTCGTTTACACATCTTGTTTAAAAGTAGAGGCGATGGTGCCAGCCTCGCCAAGGTTCCTGCACACCATTACCCAAGGGCTTCCTGTCCCGGATGTAGAGGTAAATAATAAAAACTATATTAATTAACATCATCGTTGGGTAGTTATGGCACTTTCTGGAGTTATTTAGCGCTTTACTGTTGTCAGTTTTATGTGA